CAAAATGCAGTAAATTGAATTGCAGAAAATTAAATACATCAAGTGGAGATGTTCACAACGAAATAACAAAAGTCAGAGTTAAAACTAATAGCAGCGTAGAGCTAAAGACTAAATTAGGAAAGTTGTTTGAGAAAATTGGATCTAAACTAAGACATTGCTTGTAAAACCAAAATGTAGATAGCGCTGGGTTAGTTGTGCGAGAGGTTGGTCTCTTTTGCTTCGTTTCTTCTCTGCATATTTATAGCAGTAAACACCCTTTGGCAACATGTTCAGAGATTTGTGGCAGCAATCTTGAACAACCAATGGCAGCGTGATATCTGAAACAAACTAATTAATTTGTTGATGTTGCCGATTATCTTCCTGAAAGCTCGCAACAAGGTAACGGTTTTGCTGCCATTGTGGGAATAACCACTCAATCTTAGCCAGAGAGATTTACTCCAACAACTTTCAACTAATGAGATTCTTGCCAACATGGATGACACATGGCACCATTCTATTTTTTTGCAAAAATGGGTGTAAACTGTATCTTTATTTAAAAATTAACAAAATTAATATATTTAAATAAAAAAATAACAAAATTGACATCCTTATTTACACCTTTTCTCTTTGCCCTAAATAGTTGGCACTCAAACAAAGGAATAGTTCATCAATTTGTGCAGCGATCACAGGGTACATCCTGCTACTTGTAGGAATGGTTAATACTCCTTGTTGCCATTCATGGTCAGCCACACGGGTTTTTTTCTTACTATGCTAACAGGCCACCAGCTTCAAGCCTGTCACACAACCCACCTCCATTTAGCCGCCAATAATAGACGCGATGTTTGAAATGCAATTCCACGATTAATACCCAATAGTGTTTGATTTCTGTGTAAATCTATGTTATCTTTTCCTCTTTTCAAACTCTATTGCATTTGGGTTGAAAGTAACTGACATTTTCTCCAACAGAAAAGAATCAGGAAAGCACAAAGGCAGAATACAGTATACAATTATCATTCTTAATATTGCAGAACAGAGACAGAAAATCCAAGTCGGAAATTACATGTCAACTGACAGAAAATGAAAAACGATTCTCAGACCCCATAACAAGTGTTTTGGCTCCAAACCCGGAAACCCATAATTCCACAGCTGAAAACATTCCCCAGAATCCGAACCAATCAACATTCTTCTTCATCTTCTTCCTCTACAAAACTTAGAAACTGAAAAGCAGAGGCCTCTGCCTCTTCATCACTGCCGAAGTATGATTTCCTCCCACCAACTCTGCCACCCATTTAGCCGGACCAGAGTCACGGGGAACCTCGACAACACACCTGATTGTCATAATCTTTGGTAGAACATCGGTGGCCTAAGTGACTGGACACGGGTATTCGGCTTCAACTTCATTATTGAAAACCAACACTCCACAAGGAATTTCCCATCTCCTCTTCACTCTGCTTTCACTCTTCTCGGTATGGCAAGAATCAACAGCATTTGCACGACACCTATTGCTCTTTTCCTTATCATTCTCCGGAAAAGATCTCTTTCTGGCATCTTTTGAAGTGAGGTTCTGACTGTACCGGCTCGCAACAATCCTGCCAAGTTTCAGGGGTTTTTTTGCTGGAGCTGATTTTTCTCCGAAGAGCTTTTTTGGCTGAATTGAAGTGAGAACTCCATCTTCCTTCTTCGCAGGCTTCTTGGATCCCACAGTGGTTGCAGCTTGCTTTGAATCCTCAACCTTTGACACAATTTTACGCAATTTTGGGCTGAGGCTCATGCTCTTCTCTTTCTCTTGTTACCTTCCCTTTATCGATGCCATCCGGCTTGAAAAAACAGGATTTCCGGTGATTCTATGTTAAAGAAACAGGAGTGGTGAATTCTTGCTTCATCGTTTGCCTGGATTTCCTTGCAGCATAAATCTCAGATGGGCCTAAACTGACCCCCCTACGATTCAAATAACAGAGGATCCTCAAACTTTTTCACCACATCTAAATTCTTGATACTGTGTGTCTGCTCCATTAATTTGACCGTCACGGTTCTTCCTTTCATTGTCATATTTCTTGCGGTTTGTTCAGCTTTTTCAAGACGCAGAGCCTCGAGCCTTGATGACAATCGACTGATCTCTTTCTCAGTCTCTTCAATCTACATATCAATTTTCCTCCCATCCATTGTTTTATCTTCCTCTTTCCCAATTGTAGCCTTCGGTTTCACTGAAAAGGCTCTCAAAAACACTTTTCAACGGCTTCTGTTGGAATTATTGTTAGAAATGTGGCATTCAAATCAGCAAAAATGATGAAATGAAACTGCCATGAAATGGCAGCAATGAGGCTGAAAATTGACAGCAAATGAAGCTGCAATTTGCCAGCAACTATGGCAGCAATTTAGCTGCAAATATGATGGAAATGAAGCTGTCAAATGACAGCAAAAATGCGCAGCAATCTAAGCTGCAAATGTTGATGAAGATGAAGCTACGATGAACTGTAAACGAAATGCAAATGCAAATGAAATGAAAGGCTGCAAAGAGGCCGCAAAGCTGCCAAACGACGCAAGCATGTAGCAAAAATGGCTGTTATTTATTTCAAATTTCAAATGTACTTTTATTTTTTTTTTATTTTTTTTTAATGTAGAATAGTTGTTTAAATTTTGAATTATTTTAAAGTTTGTATTCCCCTACATATATAGAATAGATTGTGAACGAGAAAATTTGAGTTGAAGTGATATACAATTCCATTTTAGTTGGGTCCTACTCTTCATCTTCCTCCCTATTCTCTGCATCCATTTCTTTGTTTGGAAAAAAAAAAAACCAACATGGTATCGAAGCCTTTTCATAATCTTTGAGGGCTTGTGTGAGAGAGATTTGAGAGAAATCTTCAACCACAAACTCCAGCCGAACCCAAATAGTTTTCAGCAAGTTTTTTCTTTCAAAATACCTTTTTTTTTTACCCAACACAGCAAACTCTTCTGACCAAAAATGTAGCAAAGATGCTGTGATGATAAAGGTTAACTTTAGGTCCTTCAATCTTTGAAAGTAGTTGAGAAAAAGATGCAACCAATTTGTTAAGGCAGAAGGGAGTATGTGAAGCTGTGAAGTTGAAGGCTAACTTAACGTCCTTCAATCTTATCGAAGCTGAAGATTTGTAGGAAGCATGAGCCAAAGAGGCTAGTTTGATGATGTTTTACGTTGCTAGGATGGGTGGTGTTTTACACTACAACATTAGTCCAAAAAGGCAAGGATGGCTTGTGAAGATGCAGATTGGGACTAAGAGAGTACTCAACATTGAATCAAGTCATTTTGATGACCAAGTAGCCAAATCTTTAGCCCAAGGAAGCTGTAGAAGATGATGAAGCAGAACTTTAAGGTACCAAAATTCTTGTTTACTTAGAAAAAAACATCCAAAATTTGTTTGAGGCAGCAAAATCCAAAAAAGGAAAGCTGTAATGAAGGAGGAGCTGAGGTTGTTTAAGAATGGTGGTACATGGCTATGGAAAAAAAGAAGAAGGTGAAAACCAAGCACAAGATGGACAGCAAAGGGTTCATCCTAGGTGCTTAGGCATAAATCTATTTCTGTTTTTGATTTTTGCAGCTTTGATGCTAAGGAGGAGTGTTGGAATTATTGTTAGAAATGTGACATTCAAATCAATAAAAAAGATGAAATGAAACTGCCATGAAATGACAGCAATGAGGCTGAAAATTGACGGCAAATGAAGCTGTCATTTTGACAGCAAATATGGCAGCAATTTAGCTGCAAATATAATGGAAATGAAGCTGTCAAATGACAGCAAAAATGTGCTGCAATCTAAGCTGCAAATGGTGATGGAGATGAAGCTACAATGAACAGTAAACAAAATGCAAATGGAAATGAAATGAAAGGCTGCAAAAAGGCTGCAGAGCTACCAAAATACGCAAGTATGCAGCAAAAGTGGTTATTATTTATTTCAAATGTATTATTATTATTTTTTAATGTAAAATAATTGTTTAAATTTTGAATTATTTTAAAGTTTGTCTTCCCCTGTACACAGAAGAGATTGTTAATGAAAAAATTTGAAATGAAGTGATATACTTCTTTCCATTTTAGATTATGTTCTGCTCTCCATCCATTTCTTTGTAAAAAAAAAAAACCAACAGCCTCTCCTTCAAGTTTCTGTTGACATTATTAGCAGAAAGAGGTTTGAAGGGAACGGAGGAATTGAATGAAACATGAGATTTCTGCGACAAGGGACTCTGATTCTCTTTACTGACATCGAATTGAAGCGAGCGATTCAACAACACAGCTTCAAGATTGCACCAGGAATCACGCTTGAATCCTCCGACTCCCCATTGACAAAGGCGGCGTTGTCTCAAATCTGGAGCTCCGGTGTTCTAAACGCATTTGGGTACTGAAGAATACTCATCTTCCTCTTCAGGGTATCAACAAATTTTCGAAAATCACGAGGGTTTTTGAGAGCAAAAATGAAAGATTTCAGTGTGTTTGTTTCTTCTGTGTTCTTGAGGGGAGAGGAGACTGCAATGAAGGGAATTTCATCATCTTTCAGAAGTTTGACCGTTGCGAGAAAGTAGATGTTAAGCGGTGTTAGGAAAATCTCAGTCGTTGGATCATAAACAGCTCCCATAGACGCTCCGATTCGATCTAAACCTTAATTACTGGGAATAAAAAAAAAAAAACCAAAAGAAGAAAGAAAGGGTTTATATATATATATATATTTTAACAAGGATAATGGTTAAGAAGTTAGTGAATTAATTATTAGCACCTGATAATTAGACCGGGTGCTCAAATGAGGCACGCGGCCATCAGGCAACATTTTGGTGGAGTTCACGATGGTGATGTAGTTCGAAGCTCCGACCACCATTTCACCCAAGCACTAAGGTATTGTTTGGATTGGAGGTGTCGGACGGAGAGGGAGGGGAAGGGATGGGGATGGATGGCAAGGGAGGGGGAGCGAGGGGGGCTGTCTACTTCCTTCTGTTTGGATTTCCAAAGAGGCAAAGGGGGAGGGAGATGGACTGATTCGGACTCCCTCCAGCCACCCTCAAATCTGCAAATTTGCAATCCGCTCGATTTGGGGGGTTTGGGAGGGATTTGAGTGACTGTTTAAATTAAATTAAATGTAATTACAAAATTAACCTTAATTTTTTTATTATATCCTTCTCCATTACAAATTTAAAAGATAAATTTATAAATTTAAAATTAATTTAAATCTTTCCCTTCCTTCTCTTCTTTTTACCTTAATTATCCAAACATAAAATAATACAATCCTTCCCTTCTCTTCCCCTTTCTCATTTTTATTTATCCAAACAAAATTAACACAAATCATTTCCTTCTATTTTCTTCCCTTCCCTTTCTTTTCCT